CCAGTACTTGTCCATCTAGAAATAATCAGTTGTCAATATTTCTTTAGATAAGCTTAGGGTTTGCTGTTCATTATCCCAGTTCTATGCTGGGTTACTGTCTGGGAGTCTTTTGGGACACCCTGGCCAACAACTCAAAGGAAGGCATCTCCTGTCTGGCATTGTTTCTTGTTATGTAGCCTTTAGCTATACATATGGACTCTTAAAAACTATATTGATCCCTTTAATCTTGGGTTATACTTTCCTTTGGGTGTTTAAGACCATACAGTTGGCCCAGAGAAACCAATTTATTTTTACTCTTAAGGTCATTTGAGGGGTCACATGGGCTTGAGAGGAGCCCCTGGCTCCATTCTTTTACCAGTTCCATCTATGTGAAGATAAGTCAAAGGTCCTACTCAATTATGGCTGGCTTTGCTTGGAAGCATGGAGGAAAAGTTTTCTCTGTGTTGACCCTCCTCTTTGTAGACTGGACACTGGTTCAAGTCCATCTGGTGGGGTCTCCACGGCCTCCTTGATCAAGTTCCATTATACTCAGGGGCCATCCTGACCCCATACGTCACTTCTCCTCCCTGTGTTCTTGTGGGTCGGTGGCCAATGACCCATGTGGGGAGGGAGAGAACCACACTTTATGTCCCTCTGTCCAAATTAGTATAGACCTCATAGTATGTCAGTTAAACATCCAAGAAGGTTAGTTCCACCAGTCTGGTACTTTTAATTACCATGTGCCATGCAGATAAAGCTCCGGCAAAGACAAAACGCTCTCAGATAAACCTTGCCTAAACATATATTCTTTGATCTATTTTTATGTATGATTTGTCAGTAGGTTGTTGAACTAATATGGTTCCCTCTGGTTTTTCAAAACTAGTGAGGCAGGCATTATTTATCTCTCATATTGTCTAACCCTTCCACCATGGTTTCCCATGCTTAATTATTTTTAAAAATATTTAATTAATTTTTTGTAATTTTATGTATATGGATGTATTGCCTGCATGTATGTAAGTGTACCTGTGTTGTGTAATGCCATCAGAAGTCAGGAGACAGTGTCAGATACCCTGGAACTGGAGTTATGGATGATTATTAGCGACTATATGGGTGCTAGGAATCGAACCCAGGTCCTATGCAAGAACAACCAGTTTTCTTAACTGCTGAGTCATCTCTCCAGCTTCAGGATCAACTTTTTAATACCAAGAACATAAGTGTGTATCAAGATTCAGTTATACAACAAGCAACTTGGTCAGGAACTCACTTTTCTCATAGCAACCCATCATTTTCCTCATTGAAGAGAATATCATTCTAAATGTGGTTAAAATCCTATCTGTGGATTGTACATGACCATTCTGCTAGTGTCATTTCTATTGCTGTGATAAAACTAACCAAAAGCAACTTGGGGGGAGGAAAGGATTTATTATGCTGACAATTCCAGGTCACAGTCCATGAATGAAGACAGGGCAGGAACTTGAAGGCCAGCCTGCTTGCTGTTCTGTGTAGTATTACCTCTGACCAAAGAACTCGTTTTTTAGCCAAAGAAGCACAGCAGGCACACAAAGGATGCTTGCTTGCACACAGCTAGCTTTTTAAAAACAGTATGGTCTAGGAATAGTACTGTCCGAAGTATGCTGGACCTTTCTAAGTCACTTAATGATCAAGACACTCTCCCACAGACATGCCCACAGGCCAATCTAACCTAGGCAATTCCTCAGCTGAGGCTCTCCTCTTAGACTCCAGGAAGTGCCAAGTTGATAGTTAAAGCTAACCAGGAAAACTATGAAGGAATGATTTCTACCTTCAAGGGCCTCTAGCAACATTATTAAATATCCATATAGCACTGCCTGTGTTCTAAGTACTGCCCATTTTCTTTCCATATATTAACTCACTTGATGAGCATTAAAAATAAAGCCCCTAGCTGGGCATGGTAGCGCACGCCTTTAATCCTAGCACTCAGGAGGCAGAGGCAGGCAGATCTCTGTGAGTTCAAGGCCAGCCTGGTCTACACAGTGAGTTCCAGGACAGCTGGGGCTACAGGGAGACCCTGTCTCAAAAAAAAAAAAAAAAAAAAAGCCCCATGGTGGTGTTCCGTACGGCACGTTCTCTCCAAACGCTACGGTGACCGTGACGCATGAATCACCAGGTATTCCTGTGGCCGTGAGACTAGCAACCACTAACATTAGAGAACTTTCCCTTGTTTCAGAAGTTAATTTGTGTTAATATGTGTTTAAGAAAAAATGCAAATAAGTGCATTGTAGCACACTCACTATTCTTCAACCGTCAGCTTGCTGGAGACATTGCTCTCTTCCTTCTCACCACATCTGCGGTTTCTATGTCCTCTCTTACACATATCCCTTACCTCACCCTGTGAGTGCCCAGAAAAATTTTCCTGAATTATATCTGTGCTTATATAATGTCTCCAACTGGATTAGAAGACCAGAGAACAGCTGTCATGGTTTGAATATGAAATGCTCCCACAGGTTCATTTTCAGGGGGGTTGGATGCCTTTGATGGGCTTTGGGGGAAAAGGTTGTATCCTAAGGTCTCTGACCCAATGTATGAATTCCTTGATGAATTCATAATATAACGGCATTGCTGGGGGTAGGGAGCAAATGGAGCCTAGATGGAGGAAGTGGATCACTGGTGTTTGGGGTTGTATCTTTCCCTGGCCCTTCCTACATTCCCTCTCTCTGCTCCCTGTCTTCCATGAGGTAAATAGATCTGCCACATGCTTCTGCTTCCCTGATGCTCTGGCCCAGAATCAGCAGAGTCAAGAACTATGGAGTGGAACCTCTGAAATAAATAGATCCTTCCTCATTTTAATGGTTTCTCTCACATAGCTGGTCACAATGACAAAATCTGATAACAATTTTCCTCTAAAGGATCCAAAAATGTTCAGCAAGTGTTTCATCGAAGATCACTGGGTCAATCTAGAACTGCTTCAGCAACGGCAAGGAGGAATGTAAATTTGTTTTCTGAAGCAAAGGCTGACTTCATGCCTTGATGACAGCCCACAGATGGCCAATGTGGTTAAGTAAACCTTAATCTTTTTTGGAAGTACCTGTCACAACAAGGACCATATTCTTGTCACAGAAATAGAGAATACTCCACAAGCAGCCTGAAAACCTCTAACTCATAGATTACTGGGTAGAGGACGCAAAAACGGTCTGCCTTTAAATATCTTCACATTGTCCCTCTAACACTTGAACATGGGCTATGCAAAGAGTCTGCTCTGTACATGAAGTGATTGCCAAGTGAGTCTTCTTAATGTGTGTAACATGCGTTCATTCTTCCCCGCCCCTCATAGAGCTGACCAGCAATGCTGTCCGGTATTGCGTCAGGAAGCAGTGTTGTCAATGTACCCAGCACATTGTCCTAGCTTACTGCTTAACTTCATCTCTGTGGAGGTGGCTAAGACTCTTAATTTGTGAATTACATGTAGGGTCCTGTGCCATGCACCTAGTCCTTTACGCGGAACTAAAGTATTGAATGTGAATTAACTTCAAACCTCCAGATGGCACCAGAGAATGGAGAAAAAAATAGAATCACCTTTCCAAAGATCTTTGTATTGTTCTTCAGAGGCAGGCAGGCGGAGAGAAATGGCCCATTGATACTCAATCCCGCTTCAAGGAAGGGAAGTGTCTGCTGGCACACTGCTAATGTGCACTTGCTGTTAGGGATATTGGATTGTGGAATTCTGTGAGGTAAACTCGAAGGCTTTGTATTTTTGCATGGCACCTGAGAGTGAAGAGGGCGGTCCTCTGGCTGTCTCAGGGACAAAGTGCTTAGAGATAGATGTGTTGCTGCAGAACCTGACTTTAAGCTCCTGTTGCAGTACAGACACGAGGATGCCGGCTGGAAAAGCAGACAGCAAAGAAGCTATGCAGGCCTTGGCATTCCCATTTACGATATCGTACCTTTATGTCCTCTTATTAAATATTAAAAAAACAAAGAAGTGACAAACCGTATTGAAACCTGATAGTAGCTGTTGAACTATTGGGAAAAATACAAGGTGGCATTTATTGCACCTCAATACAACCAGAGATGTATATCCTGTGAGCAAATAAATGAAAAGAAATAGTCCAGCTGGCAAAGGCTTGGGCAGGGTAGTCACACCCGCCTTATCCTCCTTACTGAGTTATTGGTTGGTCTCTGAGACACAGGCTCTAAAGAGCCCTTCCCTAAGGATTTATTGTTAGTAGACCTCAGCAAAGCCTGGGGCGTGTCTCAACATCCCCACTCACAGGAGCAGCACCACCACTAATCCCATAAATCCTGGTTTGATTCTGCAACACTAAGACACGTGCTGAGCCAGGACCTGGGATGCAGGTAGGAACCTTTAATGCTCTTTTCTTGTCTCTTTCCCATGCATCCTCGCTCAGTCAAATACCACCTCCAGGGAGAGATCTGCCCCACCTTTCTACTGGAAAGATTTCTGCTCACACATGCTCTCATTTCCCCTTATTTCCGGATGCAGGTAGGAACCTTTAATGCTCTTTTCTTGTCTCTTTCCCATGCATCGCTCAGTCAAATACCACCTCCAGGGAGAGATCTTTCTGCTCACACATGCTCTCATTTCCCCTTATTTCTATCTAGCACTTATCAAAATAAAATCACCTCATTTTACACTGCTTTGTCTGCCTCTCCTGCCAGAAGCTATTATTGATGCAGGAGGGCTCTTTTTGGTCTGTCTTCCTGAATGTCTGTCTTTCAGGGGACTGTGCAGCACATTATTAAAGGCTTGGTATGGATGGAATTGATGACTGAGTGATGACTGGAAGGCTGGCCTATTTCTCTAGTTCCTCCTGTTTATGAAATTTGATTCAAAACCTAAAATTGGAGATCAAAGTCATTACTCAAGAATATTAAATCAACATAAATAACCAAAACATGCCTTAGGAAAAGACAGTGTATAACAAGAAAAGACTATAGATAACATAAAAGAATATCTTTTCTCTAGTGTTTAAAAACAAATGATGAAAAAGAGAATTCAGAAGGAGCTGTGCTGTTGAACACTCCCTCCTAAGGGTGTGTAACTTCATGAGGAAAAGATGATCACGATGAAAAAACATCTGGATGTGTCTGTTACATGCTCCAGAATTGCATAGCCTCCAGCCCAGAAGGATTCTTCCTATACAGGTGAGTATATTACAAATTCTCTCTAGCAGACCTCCAGGTAAGATAGAAAATGTCTCCTGTCAGCACTCCCAAAAGGTTTCTCAAAACTCCCATTCTAGCTCAAGTTACTCTTCTTCCAAAGATCACAATTGTGATCAATTGCAGAGTTTACCTAACCTCTTTCTCTTCCTTTGGAATGTGAGCATTTTAAAGGCCTAGCTAGACTGCCTGCCCCTGTCCACTGCTGTCTCTTCTCCGCCCTTTGTGTAGGGCCTACCGAATATAAAAAGTAATCCACTAAATAATAGTTGTTGAATAAGCAAAGATAAATTGAGTACTTATGTACATACTAGGTTTACTTCCACTTCACAGATGAAAAATTAAGGCTTAAAAATGTATAGCTCCAGGGGATCCAACGCCCCCTTCTGGCCTCCCCAGGGACTCACACACAAGTAGAAGACACACAGATACACACACACACACACACACACACACACACAAACACACACATAAAAAATATCTTTGAAAAATAGTGCAGCTGTCTCATTGAACAAGAACTAAGTAATAACATCTGAATTACTTTAGTTGTTGTGACAAAATATCTGACAAAAGCAACCTAAAGGGAGGAAGGGTTTATTTTGGCTCCCAGTTTGTAGCTACAGTCCATCTTGAGAATGGAGGTGTGGCGTGGCAGCATAAGTGTGAGGCAGCTGGTCACATTGCATCTGCAGTCAGGAAGCAGAGAGAGATGAATACTGGTGCTCACCTCACTTTCTCCCTTATGCTCAGACTGAAGCCTATGGGATGGTGCTGCACACATTCAGGTGGGTCTTCCCTCCTCAGTTAAACCTCTCTGGGAGCATCCTCAAAGACACATCCAGAGGCTTGTCTCCCAGAGGATTCCAAATCCAGTCAGGCTGACAAGGAAGATGAGCCATCCCAGCAGCTATAACCAGTTGCCCATTTTAAAATGAGATTTTATTGAGTGGTGTGAATGATGGAGGGAAAAGGAAGGCTTTGGCCAAGAAAAGCCTACAACTGAATCCCTGTCTACTTAAGTTCAAAACTCTGCACATTAAACCCGAAGACCCTTTTTGTGCCAAACTAATTATGTGTAATTCAGAGTACACATTTTGATTTTAAAAATGACTAATTTGTTGGATATGTTGTTTAGCATGATATGGCAGCAGCTCTATTCCTCCACTGCCCCAAACTGTTTTAAACCATTTAGTTGCCTTTTCAGTCTTTTGATGGGATCATGGGCGAATTCCCAGCTTCTGCTGATTCACTTTCAACTCTAAGAGCAGCCTTGTTTCAGCACATGTGAAATCTGTTACAGCGACTTTGTACTTTGTTAAATAAAACAACAGTGTTGTGAATGCCTTGAGAAGAAATACCCATATCTATCAGAGGTGTTAAATGAGGTGTATTTTGATGAAATGCTATGGTATTTGATATTTGCCTTGAAGTATTCCAGAAAATAAGGAGAAAAGATGGAGCACAACCAGAAAACACACGGGTAACTGTTGGAGCAGAGGGATTATGGGTGAACTTCACTCTTCTTTTTGCTTTTGTACATATTTGAAATGTTTAAACATTTAAAATGCTCGTGAAAGCCCCATCTGATTTAAACAGAAGCTGGACTTCTTCGTTTCATCATACCCTTTCCACCATCTCCCCAGAGCTCATACTTACCCTGATGCCAGCCCATCCAGGGCAGAGGGGCTACACCAATCTGTTCTGTGTTAACGCACAGTTCTTTGTTATTTCTCCCCAGCCTCTGCTGTCTCCTCTACTCACCCCGGTGCTTCTTGCTCTCCTTGGACTGGGGAAAATGGGGAAGGAGGAAAGAAAAGAAGAAAGTTCCATCCTAGTTGACCCATGCTTTAGACTCTGGATTCTCTTCAAATCTTGACCCATGCAGTTACTTGTATTTGTATAGCACACGTACTGGTGTGGTGGGCTCACTTGAAAGTCCTTTACGGGCTTCTCAGAAGACTTCTGTGGACAACCAATCACCACCCAAATGTTTCACTCTGGTCTGACAGGTGTGGGACATGCACTTCTTGGATGTTGCAGTCTGAGCTGGTTAGTTTTAGCTATCCCTTGACACAACCTAAAATCACCTGGAAAAGAGTTTTAATGAGGAATTATCTAGATCAGGTTAACTTCTGGACATGTCTGTGGGGGTTTTGATTCTTAGTTGATGTAGGAAGACCCTGTCCACTGTGGGTGACATCCCTATGGTGGGCCCTGAACTGTTTAAGAATGAAAAAAGCTAGCTAGCCAATTAGCAAGTAGAGCTGTGCTTATTCTCTCCTTGCTAAGAATGAGACGTGACCAGCTCCTTGGTTTCCTACATTGACTCCCTTGAAATGATGGACTAGGAATTATAATAAAAATAAATCTTTTTCTCTTGTGTTTCTTTTTGTCAGGGTATTTGTACTAGCAGCAGAAATTAAACTAGAACAAATTGCTTGTACTCCTCAAATTCATATGTTGGCACCTCAACCCACAAGGTGATGGTATCGTGAAATAAGCCTTCTGGAGAGTGATCAGGTCATGAAAGGGAGGCTCTCGTGAATGAGACTAGTGGTCTTACAATAGGAAACCAGAGAGCTACCTTGCCCCTCTGTCTTGCAAGGGTGTAGCAAGACCATACAACTGTCTGAAAGAGGGCTTCCTCAGACACTGAATATGATAGTGCTTTGACCTTGGATGTTCCAGATTCCAGAACTGTGAGAAACAAACGTTTGCTGTTTATAAATCATATAATTACTAGTATTTTTGTAATAGCAACTTAAATAAATTCTTCCTTGAACATCTACTTACTACATGTGTCCTTGGCTTGGCACTGTGTCTTCTCACTTACCCTCAGTATTTATTTCCAATTGTTTGATTTTTAATTAAGTAAAATAATAGAGTTGTCCAGAATGAAGAATGACATGAACTCTTAAAAGAATGAAAAATGTGTCCACATCTTCCGACAGTGAACAAGCAACAGAATGAGTGTCATCAATTCATCTTTAAAAATGGAGAGATTACAAACGAAGATAAATAAAAACCAACTGATTGACAGCACAAGAAGGTGAAAGATATAATAAACACATCTACCAAAGGCACAGACAGTGCTGCAGATGAAAACTAAATCAGTAGAGACATTTAAAGTAAAAGGTAAGAAAGCCAGGACCAGGCAAACACCAAACATTAAACCTTTCACTTCCCCGAGGAGAGAATATGAAGCACCATTGCCGAGAGTTGTTATCAAAATGTCTAAAACAAAAATTAAGCTAGTTGTAAGAAAAATGTGATAAATTTATCCTCTTTCAGGACATTTCACTACTCATAGTAGTAATTATAGGTAAAGTCCATACACACATGCGTGCACATGCATGCACATGCACACATACACACACACACATCAAAGACTGGAAAATTAATGACACAGTGAATAAATTATATTTAATGCCATATAAAGAACCAGCTCCTAACAATCAAGGAATATAACTTCACAAATACACATGGAATAGTTACAAAACTGGAAAAAGTTTAAGCCAAAGAGAAAAATCTCAATACATTTAAAATAATTAAAGATAATTATTTAAAATTAATGACACAGTGAATAAATTATATTTAATGCCATATAAAGAACCAGCTCCTAACAATCAAGGAATATAACTTCACAAATATACATGGAATAGTTACAAAACTGGAAAAAGTTTAAGCCAAAGAGAAAAATCTCAATACATTTAAAATAATTAAAGATAATTATTTTCCTGCAGGCCCCTTAGCTCCCCATCATGCTCTTTTTTTTTTTTTTTTCTCGTTTGGCATTATTT